TTCACATATAAACCTTGTTCACCTGGAATACGTTTCCCCAATACAGGAAGGGGTCCTGAAAATGGGCTAAAGACATGAACCAGCTCAAACCAAAACCCAAACTCACTGCCATCGAGTCAGTTCTGACAGCGGCCCTGTAACTCCAAAACACCAAACTCACTTCCAGGGAGTCGATGCCAACTCAAAGCGATCCTAAAGGACAGGGTAGGGCTGTCCCTGTGAGTTCCTGAGACTCTTTACTGGATCAAAAAGCCCCATCTTTCTGCCTTGGAGCAGCTGGTAGTTTTGAATTGCTAATCTTATGGACTGCAGCCCAACAGGTAAGCACTACATCACCAGGGCTCCTGCCAGCTGCCCTATAGGGCAGATTAAAACTGCCCCTGTGGGTTCCTATGACTGTAAATAGAGTAAAAAGCCTCATCTTTCTCCCACAGAGCGGTGGTTTCGAACTGCTGACCTTCTGGCTCACCCCCCAGTGCCTAACCACTTTGCTACAGTCCTCATGGGAATGCCCTTGAAAAGCCGACCCGGATTCCTCATGCAGTTACCTTCTTCATAATAAAAGGTAGGAGCAGCACGGGATGGTCATTCCTCTCTGGTCCTTTCATTGCAGCAACAGCCCTCTGCCTTCTAGTGGGCTTCTCTAACTACATGGGCCTGGGGGTGACATTCAAGGGCTGCCATCCCTTGTTGGCACAGAGATGAGCCCAAGGTGACTGAAGGCTCGGTCCAGGCCGGGCTACAGAGCCCCCGTGCACTACCATACCTGGGAGAAGCCCCGAGTCGAGCTGTAGGAACTGGCGATGGCGTTGCGGCTGGAGCTGGGGATGCCGCCTGCACACGTGCTCGTGAAGGAGCTCCCGGACGAGGTCCGGGACCGCTTTGTCAGGTGGTCATCTGAGCTCTGCGGGTGGAAGCCTCTCTTCAGAGACCCAGGTCTAGAAAAGGGAGACGGACAGGCAATCAGCTCTGTGCTACCAACGGCACCCTCTTGCAAGGCCCGGTCCTTCACAGACAGAGGTGTGCTTGCTAACTTGGCAACAGCAGGCCTCGGTGCACTGGACGCCAGGCAGGGAAAGCCGATGATCTGAAGACTAAGCACATCAGTCCCGGGCTCAGAAAATGCCACCGCTCGATGGGGACAGCAACGCCTCAAGGGGATGTGTGAGGAAGAGAGGAGAGGACAGGAGCTCTAAGGGACACCAGGAAGGAAGTACTCAGAAGTGGCCATGCGGTCACTACAGTGATGGCAGGACCGGTCTCACCGGTCTCTTGAGTGTGCACTTCGATATGTCTGCGATGGGGGTGGGGCTCGGAGTTTGAGGAAGACTCCATTGTCTTTTTAAGAGAACACTTGTTACGTCTTACACAGGACAAGGGCGAAACAGAAACAACGAACAACCATCCAGGTGGGGAGACCACCGACACGGGGTCACAGGGCCCGAGGGTCTGCTGGGATATACAACTGTAGAAGGGACACCGGAGGTTCAAGGAAAATGAGTCACGTTCGACAGAAAAGTGGGTGAAGGGAGATGTTGGACAGTGCAAGATATGACAAAACAACAATTTATAAATTATCAAGGGCTCATGAGGGAGTGGGGAGCGGGGAGGGAGGGGAAAAAATGAGGAGCTGATGCCAGGGGCTTAAGTGGAGAGCAAATGTTTAGAGAATGAAGAGGGCAATGAATGTACAAATGTGCTTTACACAATTGATGTGTGTATGGATTGTGATAAGAGTTGTATGAACTTCTAATAAAAGGATTTAAAAAAAGAAAGAAAAATGGGTCACGTTTGCTGGCACCTGGCAGATCAAAACGTCATCGTTGCAGGTGAGATTACCGGAGCGGGGATGGGCCATGATGGGGAGGGACACGTTGTGGTGGACAGAGGAGCTTACGGGACTGGTCCAGGGACCGCCACACAGCCTCAGAGCAGGGCTCACGTCCATGCGACCGCCATGGAGGGCACACCCAGGCAAGCCCCGAAGGAATACTGCCCCTCCCGGGGCTGATCAGATTGGGAGATTGAGGGAAGGTAATGCCCTGTCCACAGTGCTCTAAACTCTCATTAGCTCCCCATTCTAGGCTCCCACTGGTTTTCTGAAGCCCCCCTCGCATTCAATAGTCTTTAAATAGCTCAGAGGAACTATTTTTGCCCCAAGCTCAATACCACAGAAACAGCCTACACACCTCTCCTCAAGCAGTCATCCAGCCTCTGATAGACGCAGAAACCCACGGTCTTAAAGGGAATTAGAAGTGGCTCGTGGTTAGGTTACAACACTCCTCACTGACTTCAAAGATTTAAGATTTGACCGCACACCCACAAAGCCAGCCATGCAGAAGCAGAGAGGAAAATGGAAAGGAACACACCCTGGGACTATCCCCTACCACGCCCCTCCCGCATGAGTGGACACCCACCTTGTCTTGCTGGACTCGCACTTACTTGGGCACAAAAGCAGCAGGGACGCCATTGGCCACCAGGGGCTCGAATGCTGAGTGTCCACTCCCACTGCTGTCATGGCGCCTGAGGAAAAGGAAGGAGCACCTGCTCACATTTCTGGGACGCCAGTCTCCTGGAGCCCTGATGGCAAGTGGCTACCAGCTGCTCCAAGGGAGGAAGATGGGGCTTCCTATTCCCAGGAAGTTACCGTCCGGTCTGAGACACCCACGGGGCAGATCCCCTCTTGTCCTCCAGGGTCACCAGGAGTCCGCATTGAGTTTGGTTTTTGACAGTGCTCTCGCTAAAGAGTATGTATGTGTTGCATGCCAGAAAAGGGGATGCTTCCCATCCCTAAGCATTCCCAATGGTACACCTACCCAAGAGCCTCCATTCAAAAAGGAAAATACGAAATATTCCAGGGCCTTTCACGCTATTCAATTCTTTACTTGTAAACTGCACTCAGAAGTGTTACTCACATATTTAACATCCCACTACCCACAAATTAAAAACAAAAAAAGCTGTCTTAGGGTCCCACCAAAGGCCAGTATGCCAAGTCTGCCGGGGGACGGAGGGGGTACGACTCACGATAGAAAAAAATCCTACGCTAAGTACACAGAATCAAACACTGAACCTCAGCTCTCCCGAGAGTCAACAGAAAGGAGCTTCCTGGAGAACATGAGAAACCCTCGGGGACCCTCAGAAGGGCTGCCGCCTCTGCATCTCCACCACCATCCCCCAGACCAACTGTTCACCGGCGGTACTTCTAGTCACCATCCCCTAGATCACCTACAGTATCACACCAACTACAAACACCCAACTCTGCCATCGAGCCGACTCTGCCTCGCAGCCATCTTACACAGCAGGGAGAACTGCGGCGAAATCTTTACCAGGGCAGAACGCCTTGTCTTTCTCCGGAGAAGCAACGGATGGTTTTGAACTGCTGACCTTGGGTTAGCGGCCTAAAGCATGACCCACTATGCCATTAGGCCACCTTCACTACCAAATACATCACAAAAATTTTTTAAAGATTACAGTGAGAAAAGGGCAAAAATCCTAGGTAAAGAAAACGAGATGCTAGTCCCACAGGCCGTAAGCAGATGACCAAGAACATAGCTCAAGGCCATCAACTGGAGTCTGACTCAGAGCAGCTCTGTATGACAAGGGAGAGATGGCCCTGGGCGTTTCTGAGACTGTCGCTCTGCATGGGAGTCGATAGCCTCATCTTTCTTCCTCGGAGCCACTGGTGGTTTCAAACTGCTGACCTTACATAGCAGTCCATGTAACCACTACACCACCAGGGCTCCTGTTATACAGCACACTCCCATCTCTTTAGACTTCTCAGTTCTATTCTCTATAGTACCAAGGTTCTGCCAGCTAGGATAATCCGGCCCCAGTAATTAGGCCAATGGATTATTTTCCAGATGTGGGGTCCATTCTCTCCTCAGAATCCTTGCTTGACCATCTTATATAAAAAAGCCCCTTGTTCATCACCCTGTTATATATATCCTGCTCTGGAGTGTCCCCCAACCCCCTCACAGGCTACAATTACCTTGTTTATTTTACTGTTTCCTAATTATGTCTCCTTCGAAGGTCTTCTGCAGCAAGCGTAGGGACTTTGTTATTCTGTGGCCTGCTCTATGCACAGTACACAGACCAGACCTTGGTGTGGAGTAAGTGGGGTGCTCAGCATACATTTGTGGAGTTAAAAAAAAAGTGAGCTGAATCCTGAACTGACTTCTTGGGAAACCCTATGTAGTTCTGTACCCCAACTAGCTTAGCTGCTTCAGCCTCATCTCTTAATTGGGGAAGCAGACTCTTGGCTGCATCTCCATTAAGCGAGGTCAAAGGGGCCGCAGTGGCTGGGGGGGGGGGGGCAGGCAGGGACAAAGAGGACTGTTATATCATGGGGTGGCAATCAGCATCACAGATCCAAGTGACTGCTGATTGGAAAACCCATCTGCTCTGCAAACTCACCCATATACCAAACGGTAAAACTGGTATGAGTCTCATTACTGAATAAATCCACCATCTCCCCTTCCCTTTTTCCAGGCATTCCCTCGAGAACAAGGATGGCTTTACAACTGGGAGTTGCCCGGACAAAGGAATAATCCAGACTGTAACAGGAGACTTGGAGCAGGTCTCTCTCAAAAATACCACCTCATCTGCTGCAAGCAAAGGCGGGAGGCTGATATGGTTACTACTCATTGGCTTCGTTCTCGTCGGCCTAGAGAAAGTAGGCTACAAAATAGACCTGCCCTGTGACTCAGGATGAACCAGCACCCATGGCCTTGTTTGCAGGCTCGAGATTACTCCAACTACAACGCTGGGGAACGCTCTTTCAACGAAGGCCCCAGAATGCATAGAGGAGGTTGGTCACCTTCGTTTGTTTTCCTGTCCATCCGGAAAGAGTTGGTCGTCCTCCTCCACCATCCTCTTCTTCCTCTCCTTCAGGGCACTGAGCACTACCTCTTTTGCACATGGGTCTGGAACGTTCCCTGATGGCGGGGTCAGGGTGGAGCTGATGATCTGCTCAGGTCTGCAATGAAACACAAGACTCTGGCATTAAAACACACACACACACACACACACACACACACACACACACACACACCCCACCCCCAAACATTATCAAGTTGATATTGACTCAAAGTGACCTTATAGGGCAGGGTACAACTGGCCCCTGTGGGCTTTCGAGACCACTTATGGGAGTAGAAAGCCCCATCTTTCACCTGAGGAGGGCTAGTGGTTTTGAACTGCTGACCTTGCAGTTAGGAGCCCAATGTGTAATCACTATGCCACACAGAGAGAATTTACACCACCATAGAAACTGGCCTTGGCATTTGAAAGCTACAGTTGGAGAGCAGAAAGAAAAGACGGAAAAAAAGGTTCAATTATAAGAATTTGGGGTTTTTAATCATTCAAATGAAAACTTGTGTTATCTTTCTGCTTTCTGTTGGTCAGAGGCCTAACCACAGAAAGTTCGATGGCTAGAAATGAGGGATTCTTTTCCTTCGGGAGTCATTACTTCAACTTTCTGCATTAGAGGTGCTTTAGGACTGACCAAGGGAAAGCAAAGTAGACAGAGAAGGAATGTGTCCTCACAGCAGGTGATACTCACACTGGTGACCGGACTGACTTGCTGTCCGGAGGGGCGATCCGCACCGTCACCGGGCTGCACACCATCTTGGAATTCCGAGGCGCCAGCACAGGTTTCTTGGGATAACCGTTCCAGCACACGGTGGGAAGGACCCCCAGCAAGGAGTACTGGGCCTGCTGGACCGGGTACCGTCTTCGAGGCGTTACTACAAACCGACTGGAGAAAGTCCCACAGTCCCTGCACAGACAGGAGACACACCAGAAAATCAACGGAGGAGCAAAGGAGCGTTAGGAGGCTAGGCCGCCATGTGGTGCGGACAAGCTTTCAGCGCTGGCACAGCTCTCTAAGGCAGAGCACGAGGCTCTGTCGTTTTTAATGGCAGCTTCTCCCATTCCATCAGAACAGAGTGGCAGCTGCCTGACAGCTGTCTCCCCACTGGGCTTCAACAGTCTGCGCGGGAAAGTGGAAACCCTGGCCCCGCAATGGAATGAGAGGTACACACGGCAGAGGAGCTCGCCAAGAATTCTTGGGCCTTTTCTATTGTCTCTGCTAAAACATCAGAAATAGGTCATTCTTAACCTGTTCCCACACCTCAACAGTCACCTTCTGAAGTATACTGACCACGATCCTAACAGTTACCAAATGTCCATGCTCTCCTGTATCCCTTGGCTATTGGGATTCAATGAAGCTCTTTAATTTGATCATCTTCTATCAATCATCAGTTCTTTGGAGCAACCAGTTTTGAAATCTACTGCAAGGATCTCTCTGTAGGGTCCAGCTATAACTAAACCAGGTGACTAAAAAGAGGCCCCAGCAGCCTGGTGGTTACACTCTGGGCTGTGACCTCCCAGGTCTGCCGTTTGCAACCACCAGCCGCTCTGTGGGAGAATGAGGGGGCTTTCTCACCCTGTGAAGTTACAACCTTGGAAACTCACAGGGATCCCTATGAGCTGGCACAGACTTGATGGCAGTTGCGGTCCCGACCCAACCCAATGTCCAGCGACTCTCCAGAACCGACTGACCGCTGGCTCTCCAGAGCTGCCTCCTTTGTAAACCTTCAACCAGACAGCCCGCCTCACCAACCGCCACTTTTGGACCGAGGCCCAGCGCTTAAGCACGGTGTCGCCCCGGCTCCTGGCTCAACCGATCCGGCCCTGAAATGCTGGCCGTTTTAAGGGCTTGGGGGAGAAGGGGCTGGCCTTGGCATCACGTCATTCCATGCCGTGGGCTGGAGGGGGCCAGGGAGCCGCTGCCGCCCCCCCGAAAGTCTACCTAAAGGGCAAAAGCCACACTTTGGGCTGCCCCGTAAAAAACATAAAAACACTCGCAATCCGGTCGCCAAAGGAAAGCCGGCCGAGGCGAGCGAGGGGATTACCTGGAGGGGAGCCACCTTGAAGGGCGGAGGAGCGGCGTCGGGGGCGAGGGCTGAGCCGGGTGGGCGTGATGACGGGCCGCGGGCGGCGAGGGCCAGGCGGCGGGGCGGCGGGCGGGCCTCTCGCGCAGGTCCCGGCCCTCCGGGGCAGGGGGAGGCTGCGGAGGGCCCGGCTTGCCCAGGTAACTGCCCATGAGCAGCAGCTCGGCGGGGTCGGGTCCTCCGAGCAGGGTCCTCGGCTCGAGCAGGCTTCCGTTCGCCGCCGACTTGGCCGGAGGCGACGTGAAGAGGGGTCGCTGGCGCCGCGAGTTCCGGGCCAGCGAGGACAGGGCGCGCGGACCTCGGGGCTCGGGGCTCAGTCCCCACCAGGCCGCGGTGGCCCCTAGCGCCAGCCAGGCCAGCGCCGCCGCCGCCGGCACCAGGTAGAGCACGAG